ATATGGTTGTACATGTGTAGCCTATATCAGATTGCATGCCATCTTGGGGAGAGGGGAAGAGAGGGAGGGGGAGAAAATTTAGAACTCAAAATCTTATAAAAGTGAATGTTGAAAACAAAAAATAAATAAATATTTTAAAAGGTAAATGTTATAGTATTTGGTACATATAGGTTCAATATTGCTATTGCTTCATTGTCTATGGTATCTTTTATCAAAATGTAGTTACCCTGTTTATTTCTTTTAATTAAATCTATTTTAGCCATAACTTTTTCTGAGATCATAATTGCTACACCTATCTTTTTTGCATCAGCTGAAGCATAATGAATTCTACTCCAACCCTCCATTTTTTAACTCTGTGTGTATCTCACATTCTTAAATATGTTTCTTGTAAACAATATATTGTTGTATTCTGATTTTTAATCATTTTAACCATTGTGCTATCTGTTTCTATTTTGTGGGTCAGTTCATCTCATTCACATTCAAAGTTATAATTACTATTTGTGAATTTCCCTCTATCTTATTTTTACTCACTGTCGTCCTTCTCATACTCTTTTTTTTACCCTATTCTTGTTGCCTTATCTTCTCCCCTTACCCTCCTATTCCTTTTTCTGCTCACCCCTCTGAGTCCCTCCCTTATCCTCTCCCCCCACTCCCCTAAATCTTAATCTACATGCCCTCCTAAAAGTCTTTCCTGCACCCTGTCTCCGAGTTCTCTCACGTTTGCTTCCATATATTTTGTCCCTAATCTCTTTCACTGATCACTACAAGTCCAGAAGACGTCTATACCCCTCCAGATGTATTCATTGTTTCTTCTTTGACCCAGATCTGATGAGAATCAGGTTCCAACATCACCAACTTTCCACCCCCACCTGCTTCCTCTGTTTCAGTTCTTTCTTTCATGCCCCATTTTTATGAGGCAATTGCTCCTTTTTACCTTTTCCTGCCCAATTTTGTTTTTTAGAATTGCCCCATCATACACAGCTCAGCCCTGATCTTTCTTTCAAACTACCTTAGTAATGATGACAATTTTAAGAATACTGATAACATTTTCATCTGTGAGAAGTCAACAGTTCGACCTTAATGAGTCCTTTACAATTAGTCTTTAATGTTTTTCTTAAATTTCTTCTTTCGTCATACAAGTTGATTTTGTTAAAATGATTAAATGCTGTAATGACGAATATGTTCACTATTCATTTTCAAAGAGGACCAATGATATCATGGGTGATGTCTTGACTTGCTTGTGAATTGAATTTAAGTGAGGCAAAATTGCACAAAGTCTTCAGACTCAATCTCTCTCTGAGTCAATGAAGTCCAGTGGTGGGATAAAAGTCAGGACAATTAGCATGGCCAGGATGCAGTGGATGACTTTGAAATGGTACCTCAGAGTTACTTTAATTTGAATTTCTTTAATTATTGGTGATTCAGGGCAATTTTTTCATATGGATATAGATAGCTTGGATTTCTTACTCTGAAAATTGCCTATTGCTATCCTTTGACCATTTATCAATTGGAGAATGAGTCTTATTCTTGATAATTTGACTCAGTTCCCTATATATTTGAGAAATGAGACCTTCATCAGAAAAACTTGCTGCAAAGATATTTACCCCCAGTTTCATGCTTTTCTTTTAAGTTTAGCTGCATTGATTTTATTTCCACACACACACACACACAAATTCTAAATTCTATGTAATCAAAATTGTCCCTTTTACTTCCTTTGAACCTATCTTTTGTTTGTTCATGAACTTTTCTCCTGACTTCTTCCCTGCTCCATTAATTTGCTTTTTTTTAAAATCACCCTTTATGTCTAAATCATGTACTCATTTTGAGCTTAACTTACTATGTGATATGAGATGTTGGTCTATGCCTAATTTCTACCAGATTACTTTCTAGTTTTCCCAGTAGTTTTTGTCAGATAGTGAGTAACCTAAGATAGACAGTAACTTAATAGGTTACAGTACTCATTTGCTTCCATATATTTTTTACCTAATCTTTTTGCCAATCAATCTCTCTATTTCCCACCCAGTACCAAATTGTTTAGCTTACAACTTTGTAGTGTGGTTTCAGATCTGTTACTACTCAGTCCCCTTCTTTCTCACTTTTTCATTGATTCCCTTGATATTCTTGACCTTTTGCTCATCTGGATGAATTTTGTGGCTAATTTTTTTTTAGCTGTATAATGTAATTCTTTCATAGTTTCATATGGCACTAAATAAAATTAATTAATTTAGGTAGCATTGTCATTTTCCTTTGTACTTTCTTGAAATATGATGTCAAGCCTTTTTTTTTTTGGTTCATGGATTTAAAATAGTCCAATGATTCTCTCCTTAATCTGTTTTCCAGGCCAGTTTTTCCTATGAGAAATTGCACATTTTCCCCCCAATATTTTGACTTTGTTTCATTATTTCTTTATGTCTCATGGAGTCATTAGCTTCCATTTGGCCAACTTTAATTTTGGGGAAGCTATTTTCTTCAGCAAGGTTTTGTATTTGTTTTACCATCTGACCAATTCTTGTTTTTAAGGAATTATTATGATTATGATTTTCATTAAGCAGGGAGAAGTAAGTGCACTGCCCTCCTGGTAGGATCTCTGCAAGTTGCTGACGCAGGTTTGGGTCAGGATTTTGCTGGATTGCGTATAGTTGAGTTTTCGTAGGCTGCTGCTGGATTCAGTCACTTTTAGCCCAATGCGAGGTACTGCATAGCCAGAGCAACTGAATTGCTGGATCCTTTTGGGTCTGATTTCCTGACATGGTTATTTCACTGCAGATTTATGAGGGGTTAAAGGCTAGAACTGAGAACCTTATTTACTTTTGGGCTCCGAGTCACACAGCTAAGTTTTTAGAACTTGTTCCTTTTTCAATACAGTCAGGACTCCATTTCTCTGAGACCACTCCTCTCGTCCCTGCAACTATGACCTGGAACTGGGTAATGGGTGTCCTAGCTACCAGATGGCACCTGTTCTTGATCTAGTTCAAGGGTGCCCTGGGTTCTCTTTCTGCTCCTGTGTTTCCTTCCCAGGGCTCTGACTCAGCTCCCTTTCCATCCCTGGGGACTAGAATGCTTTCCATTCCTAGTGCCACTGTGGCCATGTTCTCCTGACCAGTCCCTGCCTGTGTCAGCAGGAGGTGCTCCTTCTCTCTTATGTACTCCCTTTCAGATGTTCATTCCCTCTTCTGACACCAGTCGTATTGGCTGGGCTCAGGGTTTCACAAGGAAAGAACATATACACTCAATTAAAAATGAAAATAACATCACTTAAAGTGATTGTGATCAGGAGAAACAGTTTCTAGACCAATCAAAGGAAGCCAACAGTTATTCAGGCATTATGTGATAGCTAAATTAATAGGATAAAATGGTTATCATCCAGAGGCATTGAGGTGGCAGAGTAGATGGAGTGCTGGGCCTGGAGTAAGAAAAACCTTGGTTTTTTTCCCTTCCTTCCTATCCCCAGAGCTTGGCACAGTGCCTGACAAATAGTAGGTTGTTGATAAATGCTTTTTTCCCCTTTTTTTTTTTTTGCTAGGCAATGGGGTTAAGTGACTTGCCTAGGGTCACACAGCTAGTAAGTGTCAAGTGTCTGAGGTCATATTTGAACTCAGGTCCTCCTGACTTCAGTGCTGGTGCTCTATCCACTGCACCACCTAGCTGCCCTATAAATGCTTTTTGATTTGATTAGTTGATGAAGATCAGTTGCTACAGGAGACCTGAGTTGTGGTATCTTTGGCTGCTACGTGTGTGTGCACCTGGCCGAGTTATTGATCCTCAGAGAAATAGCAGAGTTGGAGGAGATAATCTCTCAATCCCTTCTACCTCTGTTTTAGAGACACTGTGTTGCCCTGTGGGATACATTTGTGTAAAATTTAACTCTTGCAATTTGTAAAGCACGTGTAGGCTCAAAGAATTTCCAAGCTGGGAGGGACCTTAGAGTTTATCTAATCCAGGGGTGGGGGCCTTGAGGCCTCCAGGCCACATGTGACCATCTAGGTCCTTGGGTGCGGCCTTTTGACTGAGTCCAAAGTTTTACAGAAAAAATCTCCTTAATAAAAGGATTTGTTCTGTGAAGTTTGGATTCAGTCAAAGGGTCGCACTTGAGGACCTACAGGGCCACATGTGGCCTCGAGGCCACAGCTTCCCCACCCCTGATGTAACCCTGCTATTTTTCAGAGAAGATTGAGGCCTGGGTGGGGGGGGGAGGAATTTAAGGGCTGCATGATGGTGTTTGGACCTCATCCCATCTTCTGTCAGATAGGCAGAGCAGGACAGCATTCCAGGCCTGTTTGGAGTTCCAGATGTGAACCTTCTTAGTTGTGTGACCTTGGAGAAGTCCCTTGGAACACAGGATTCTATGCAAAAGCTGGATGAGCTCTTGTTCTGTTGAGGTCCCTTCCAACTCTGCAAAGCTCTAACTTCTTCACTGAGCCTCAGTTTCCTCACCTTTAAAATAGGGACATTTGTACATTTCTTCACTTATTGTTGGGGAGAGATTGTTTTGCATACTCCAAAGGAATTTACAGGAATATAAATAATCACCACCACTGTTTCATGGACCAGGACCTGAGAGGCTCAAGGGCCTTGTGTGATGTGTCAGCATCGGAGGCAGGCCTGATGACCTTTTTGTCTGGGACTCTTTCTATTACACAGTCACTTAGGAGTAACAACTGATAGAGGCATTCCAACCATTATTCCATCTTTATGGAGATGGAAAGTGAGGCTCAGAGTGATAAACTGACTTGCCCAAGGTTCCCACATGAGTTAGTGGCAAAGGCAGCACTAAGACCCCAATGGGGTCACTTTTTCACTGTCCAATATCAGGATTCTGACTTTACTATTCAATTTGGGGGACACCCTGAAGATCTCTTGTACCAAGTGATTTCTGATGAGGCAGGCAGGGGCCTGCCTGCAGAATGAACAACACAACATCCTTTTTAAATGCAAAAAGTTTATTTTTTTTTTTTACAGGTGTAAAAAATATGTGTATATTCACATATAAAGAGGCACAGGACAGAAACACGAAATTAGAGCATTTGTTCCTTAATTGCACATTTTAAAAGGGAATTTAATCCATCATATAGATATTACAAGCCTCCTTTCCCACTCTCCTCCCTACCCCAATGCAGCAGGAATCCCTATAGGTTTCTGCTATAGGGAACTGTCAGGACCAAGAAACAGGAACTAGAGACCAGTCAGTCTGCTTTAGTCCTCTGCATGAATAAACTTGGCTTTAACAGGGTTAGGACTGGCTCTAGAGAGGGACAGTCCCTAGCATCCACAGTGCCACTCTCCTGGACAAAACTGCATACTCCTAAGATGGAACTGTCAACCAACTCTATTACCAAGCATTGTTTAGAATTACACTCAGGACTCTCTAATGCAGCATGGTTGGTGGTTGGTGAAAGTCTAAGGAGTGGGAAGCCAGGGATAGCCAGGGAAGCCATCCTCCTCTTGTCCCCCTGGAGAGGTGCTGCTGAATTCACAAACTTCTGGAGCTGAGGAAGTTTCTTCAACCAGCAGCTGACACTAAATCAACAAACTTGGCATTACCTGGCTAAGCCTATTCTACTTCATTCTGCCTTCTAGTGCCTGACCCCTACTTACAGGGTGGAGGCACCTGATATAGAAGGGGCATAGGAAACAAAGGAGGAGACATCCATCTGAAATAACTTCTGAGGTCAGCTACATGCGTAAGGTCAGGGATACACAGAGATCTCCCTCCTGAAAGGCCTTTCTTTCATGGAGGGAGGTGCAGGCTTATAAACCGGAGGTACCCACTGAGGTCAGACAGGGTGCACTCGCCATTGAATAAGACGGATCAGAAAATTCCTCTCTGGGTTAAGTAAAGTCAATTTATTGCAACGTTCATGTCTTCGAAGCAAAAATCAAACTGGCAGTCACAGACATTGGTGTGGCGCCCTCGGAACTCAATGCCTTACTCCACTTTGTGTAGTTTGAGAGTCCAGATTTTCATGTTTGCAATACTTGAAGAGAATTCAGGCAGGGCAATGACAAGACCCTTACCCATTGAGCCTTCTGACCACTTCAACAGCCCTGAGAGTCCCAACATTGTCACCTAGAAATAAAAAGAACAAACAAGACATGATCATCATATGTAGCCAGCTGAACTAGAGTGGGGAACGATATTAAGTATTATCTGGTCCATTCTCCTCATCAGACAGGCAAGAGGGTAGGGCCTCAGGGAGGGAAAACTACATAGGAAGTTCCTGACTGATCCAAGAACCAAAATCATCTACATATAAGACTGTGCTACCTGAAGAGACAGTAGCTAGAACTGATGCAAGTGCCTGGCATGCTATCTCATTTGATCCTCAGAACAGTCCTTGAGAAGGTGTTACTATCCCCATTTTACAGGTGGGGAAACTGAGGCTGGAAGAGGCTTAGCAACTCATCCAGAGTCACACAGCAAGTAAGAAGAAAAAGAGCAGAAAAATAACATCAAACAATCAACCCAGTCAAAAGAATTTGGAATTTTGCAAAGCAGTGGGGTGAGGTGATTTCTCCTATCTGGGAAGAGAAAAACTGAGCAGTGCTTCCAGCACTGAAACAGACTAAATGACTCCCGGGACTTGATGAGTGTTCTTCCAACCCAGGAAACCAAAAATCATAATTGGAAACAGACTCAACCTGTGGGCTGCGTAATGACACAGAAAACCACAAATGAACATTATCTATGTTGCAATTTTCATTGCCGTGGGCAGCTCCAGGAGTGCGAGATCTCTGCTTCAGAGAATTTTTGGACATGGCTAATGTTTCCACAATGGAAGGGAACTTTCTATAATAAAAGGCAACATGGAAGGCTGCTTACCTTTGTGCTGTATGTTGGGACAGGGGAGTCCAGCTCTACCACTCCATTCTTTGGCCAAGAGGTGAAGAAGGCATACACATCAGATTCCTTTGTGGTGTACCTGTAGAAAACAGTCACCACAGACTTATCCAAATGGAAGCTTCGCCTTTAATTGAAATATTCACAGAGCACTTAACCTATCAGAGTCCATTTCCATAGATAGGTCTGCTAGCCATGGGGTAAGCCATGTCTGGATACAAGAGAGATCCTCACCTGGGATGGGACATAGACCTAGTGACCCTCAAATGCAGAGGGAGGCAACTTACCATATGGTGGTGGTGGTGTTCTTTTCCATTTGCACCCTCCATGGCTTAGAAGCATAGATCCCCTCCCCATTGATGCTCAGCCAGCTCCCCACAGAACGGAGCTTTTCTTCAAAGATGGGGGGAATGATCCCATCTCTTGTTGGCCCAACGTTGATCAGATAGTTGCCTCCAAAAGTCACAACTTCAATTAGTTCCTGAAAAGAAGAAAAAAAGAAACAGTGAAGTGCCTCACCTATTAACAGCGGTGCTGGAAACAGTGCTGAGAAACTCACAAATGTTAAAAACAGTAACCACCACCAAACAGCTTTGAGCACATTTTCTGTTTTCTTAGGCCCTTAGAGATCATGGAGGTCAGACTCACATAGCCAAAAACCTGCTTCGAATTCAGGTCTAGAAGGATTCTTAGAACACAGAACTTTTGAGCTGGAAGGGACCTCAAAAGCAAACCCATTAAATATTTTTCAACCTTCTCCTATATGCCATGTAATGTGATAGGCACTGGCAATACAAGAAGGAAAAAGAATAGGGACAGCTAGGCAGAGCATTGGATAGAGCAACAGGCCCTATAGTCAGGAGGACCCGAGTTCAAATCCAGCATCAGACATTTACTAGCTGTGTGACCCTGGATGAGTCACTTAACCCCAAGTGCTTCCCCCCCCCGCCCCCCCCCAAAAAAGAAAAAGAATGACAATCCCTACTCAAAAGTAGTTTCCATTATAATGGGGAAGATATAGCGTAATGATGTATACACCATAAATCCAAAATGAATGAATACAAAGATATTCAGAGTAGTTTGGAAGGGAAGGCACAGGGATCAGGAAAGGCTCCATGAAGAAGATGGTATCAGAGCTGGGAAGACTCTTAGAACTCAGAATGTCAGAGTAGGAAGAGTCCTGAGAATCAAAATTTCATAGTTGGGAAGACTCTTGGAACAAAGAATGTCAGAAAAGGAAGAGACCTTAGAACTCCATATCAGAGCTGGATAAAAGATTCATTCAATACAGAGGGTGAGCTAGTCCAATCTCCTAATGGTATAGATGAGAAAACATATCTGAGGAAGAGATCATGTAGCTAAGATCTGAATCCCAGTCTCCTGACTCCTACTATAGTCTTCCTACTATGTCCTCCCTCTCTCTACCCTGGTTCAAGAGACCAAAGCCAAAGCAGCTCTTACCGAAATGATTTCTATATCAGTCATAACATCATTGCTCTTCATTGTTCGCCGATACCCCCAGGCATGTTTATCAAGGGTGGTGCACATTTCCCACTTGCGTTTTGGAAGAGTATCTGGCTTGTACTTATCATGACAGGTAAGGTAACCTCCATGATTACAGGGATTGTCCTTGCCCCATCGATCATTAACCACAATTTGATCCTAAAAGAAGAAAGGTAGAACTGAGTCACCAGGGATGAAGCTACACGGATTCCTTTGTGTGCAGCTATGAAAGGAAGCTGACCAGGTTTTCTTAGGTGACTTTACAATTCAAGAATGTGTTCTGCTAAGTAAAGCAAAACAAGCCCTATTCCTTCCCTGGCCCTCGTGATAAGGATGCACAGCCCTTCACCATCCTAGCTGTCTTACTCTTGACATTCTAGCTTATCCTTGTCCTTTTCAAGCCGTGGTGCCTAGAACTGAATATGATCCTCCAGGTGAAGTATGAAAAGGACCAAATAGCAGCACTATCATCTCCTTACTTCTGGAAGCTCAGGCCCTCTTACTGCTGCCCAAGATCCCATTAGCTATTTTTTTTTTTTCGCTCTCGTATCACATTGCTAACTCCTATGAATCCTACAGTCCACTGAATTCCCCAGGTCTTTTTCAGAACAATTGTTGTCGGTTAATTCCTTCCCTTCCTCACCTCCCTCTTCGGTCCCCATTTCACACTAAGATGTCATTTTGTACCCAAGTGAAGACTTGCTATTCGTCCTTATTCATTTCATAATTAGATTCAGCCCAAGGCTCTAGACTTATCAAGATCTTTTTGTATCTCACTGCCTAATATGTTAGCTATCCTTCCTAGCTTTCTCCTGTAATTGTTGGGACCCATGCTATGCATGGATCATACATACTATCTTGTATTATAGTGGTGTGCATGTGATTTATTTCCCCTACTAGAGTGTCTTATCAATACAGTGTGCATATAGTAGGCATTGCATAAAATACCACTGACTAAAATGAAATGAAATTTACATTGCTAGGCTTTGGCACACTCAGTGATCCTGCCCCAGACCTAAAGGCCGGTTTTGGATGTCACTCAAGACTCCATGCTAGGGAACAATTCTTTTCAACGTCTGCCAGGAACAATGTGAATGTGCAGGAACTTGAATTCTTATTCTTGCCCCAGACCCACAAAACATCCCCACAGCAGCATGCTGCATTCTGCATTCTTGGAAAGCTTCCTTATCTCCCCATCCAGAATTCTCTTCTTGCCTGACCACTCACAGAGGGGAAGGAAGGATACAGTTGGTTCCAGGCCCTGGCTCACTCCACCTTCTACAGTCACAAGTAGTCCTTCAGTCACCCACCTTTACAGGGCTGTCATTGTACAGCCAGGCAAGGAACTCGGTGGAATTCCAATAAGTGTCAGGGGCTTCCCATTCTCCATCAGACCAGATCAGGTCAGGTTTGTACCTGAAAGACACATGGAAGGGTAACATGCTGGAGGAGTCTTTACAATCTAGAACATCAGTGGGGTTTAGCAGTGGTGACCTAGCAGTGGACCAGAAGTCAAGAGACCCAGGATCTAGGCCCCCCTCAAGCACTTGTGAAGAACCACATAACCCCAGGCAAGGAATTTCACTGTTTGAGTCTTACTACCTTCATCTGTAACACTGGAACTAGACTACTCTCCTAGCCTCCCAGGGCTGAAAGCATGGATGTCGAGTACTTCGTAGAGAGGCAATATGGAGCAGTGGTCAGAGAGCTACCTTGGAGTCAGGAGGACCTGGGTTCAAGTCCTGCCCCTGGACCATACAGGCTATGTGGACCTGGTAAGCCGCTTTATTTTTGAGCACCCTCAGACACTCTCTAAGAAGATGCTGTCTGCCTTGGAAAGTAAGCTCTTCACTGGGAGATCTCTACTCCAAGGAAATGACATACTTCAAAAAAATAAAAAGGCTTTGAAGCCATAGAACGCTATTCCTTAAACCCATTCCCAGGGCAGTGTTAACAGGCTTTATCTAGCTAGCCCTTCACTCCATAAATTATTGGTCCCTTGGAGAGATAGGAGGACCTTGACCTTACCCCTTAGTAAGGCTGCAGTCAGAGCTCAGTGGAATGACTTGTTTCCTAAGAGGATATTTTACAAACAATAAAAACTGCCTGCACTTCCCATTTCTTTAGCCCTTTAGAGTTATAAAGCCCCATGAGATGGGAATTATAATATAAATGCACCAACCCAATCTTAGAGGATGAAAACTGAAGGTCAGAAAGGTTCTTACTTGTTCACAAGATCAATCATTTCTGGCAAGACCTTGGCGGTGACAAAATTCTGGGTTGTGAAGTTGTTTTCCTTGTCAAGCATATAGAAGGGATGAAACCACTCCAAGAGTGAGTGGTACAGTCCATAACGGATATTCCTAAAAAGACGAAACAGGAAATAATTACCTCACAAGGAATTTTTTTTAAACAGCTACTTTTAAAACATAAATAGCAAGACCCAACGTTACATAGTGTGGAACTGACAGATGGGGGAATTAGAATCTGAAACAAATTTCAATTTCTTTCAGTAGAATTCTCTCATATGGAATTTTTTTAAAGGCTACTTTAAAAACACAAATAGAAGTAGGACCTTCACATATGCATTATGTAGTGTGAAGCTGACAAATTGGAGAATTAGAATCCAAAGCAAATTGCAATTTCTTTGCAGGGCAGAAATATTTGTTTTAAGGAGGTACACAGGAGGGATTCAATTCATCAGCAACAAATATTTATTATAGGATTTACTTCAAGAGCTGCCTTGAATTACAAAGGAGAAGTGGCTTAAAGTATACCACTAAAGAAATAGGGGAGTTAAAAGCAAGATCAGGTCATCCTGTGGTGTGTCTCAGGAATAACAAATGGTTAGACCACCTGCTCTATTGCTATGTTCTTAAAGGTTAAGAAGAAGTCCCCTAGCATGCTGGATGGACACCCTCTGGCAAAGGTCAACTGCAGAAGATGTGTTGAGATCTGCGTCATTAGAGGGATGCCGTTAGAGAATACTATTAGAAGCAATATTTACCCAGAGGTATAAACACCCTATATTATGGAAATGGATAATAAATTGGGACAGCAAATTGGGACATTTTTCCCCCCAACCTGTACAAACATCTATACCTCCTTCCTCTGGATTGTAACCCCCCCACTTGCATCCCTATCTTTCCTTTCTTCCCAGCTAACCCTTTAGTGCTTTCTAGGCTGTAAGAAAATGCTTCTATTCCTTCATTTACAGATGACTTCCAGTAAGACAGATAATAGGGGGTCTCTACCCTAGAGAATCTTCTGTAAATAGTTCCTGCCCTCCAATAGTTTAAATAGCTCAGATATTTGGACACCCCCACCCCACTTCCTTTTCTGAGGTATCCATAAAGTCAAAACTATTTTCATTAATATTAAGGTATTTTAATTTTTAATACAGCAACTATTGATAGATATATTCCATATAAACAAAAACTCTTTGAGGGGGTCCTTAATAATTTTTAAGAGGGTCCTGAGACCAAAAGACTTGAGAGCCACTGATATATTAGATCCAAATCTAAGTTAGGGGTGGCTGGGGTGGTATGGCTAGTTACTCAAACTCGGAAGCTAACTCCAGCACTTGGATTCACCTGCCCTACCCTCCTCAACTCAAATTCTAATTTTTCTTTAGTTCAGGATCAAGGGTATGTGTGAAGAAGTGTCCTGGTTTGAGTATATTGGGGGCAAAACCTAGGGAGGAATAAATGAATGGAGGGGCATGTGATAGGCAATCACCTAATCAGAATTACAAAACTGGAGACTCAGGACTCTTCAGCACCATTTAGTGCAATCCATCCACGACAGGAATCCTCACTACTGTATAATCATCTAGTCTTTGCTGGATGACCTGAGGAGTCACCCACCCTGTGGAAGGCAGCCCATTCCACCTAGCCTTGCTATTAGCAGTTTTGGCTGCCATACCATACTGCTGATGCATAGGGAGCTTGCAGTTCACTAAAACTGCAGATCTTTTTCAGAACTATTGTTCTGAACCAAGCCTCAAAACACTTCCTGAAAAGTAGGACTGGAGAAGCTCCCAGTCAGTAGATTCTTTCCTGGGCTGACACAGACAGTGCAGCCTATTCTAGGCACTTTTTATTCACCAGCCAAATGCCACTTGTAGCCTGGTCATCTTTGGCTTAAACCTCAAACAAGCAGGGCCTCGACATAATAATGCTCAATGACAATGAGACTGTTCTGCAGATTATTCTTAGTTATCTGGGAAAGCCAAGGGGACAAGCTGAGATTTTCAAGTGATTGAAGGCCAGCAAAGGGGAGTCCAGGGCTAATAAAAAACCAAACACACTTACTTCTCTCGGAGGAAAGGCCCCAATTCACCCACCAGATCTCGGTGTGGCCCTACGTCCACAGAATTCCAGTTCCAAGATGTAGAACTGGGCCAGAGTGTGTAGCCTTCATGATGCTTACTGGTCAGGACCACATACCTGTGGAAATCAAAGCCACACGGTCAATGCTTTCTTCCTGCTCAAATTCTTTTGCATTTATTTATCTGTGTACATACTGCCTCAGTGAAATTAAGCTCCTTTAGGGCCAGGGGGCTGTTGCATTTTTGTCTTTGTATCCCCAGGGCCTGGCACATAGTAGGTGCTTAATAAATGTTTATCAAAGTAAATTAAATCTGAACAATGGAAAAAGTCACCAGTAAAAGTTATCTAAAAACAAACAAACAAACAAAAAACCCCCCAGCTATCTGTTCTCTGGCCTTATGAATTAAAAATCGTGATTCTAAGATGTGGACTGTAGCCTTTACCAGATCAGCCAAGGGATCCAGGACACAAAAAGGATTAAGATTAAGAACCTCTATTCGAAACCTATGAGAGAATAGCTGCTGACATTGTATTAAAAGCTTGAAAAGCTTATTTTACATACATTTTCTCATCAGAGCCTCAAAGTAACCCTATGAGGGGAGTGTTATCAGATTTAATCTCATTTATCCAAATCTATGTTCCTATGTAAATCTCATTTCAGATTTACAACCTGGACAAAAAACCAAAAGAAGCCAAAAATACATCCAATCGAAACTATTACAAGCTTCTAATCTACTAACTTCTGGGTTGCAAAAGTGGTCAGTTTCCCCAGGTGGTCACTCTAGCTGGTCTGGGTAGTACTAGGCAGCTAACCCACTGTTTTGGGGTCTCCAAAGTGATTTTACTCAATTTCAGGAGGAGCCCCTTGAATTGCACAGTACCTCTGTATCAGAGCATCTGTACTGCTGAGAACAGCCCAGCACCTACTAGGAGCTGAATACTGTTTGTTAATTCAAGGCAACAAAGCATTTATTAAGTGTTACAAGGAAGAGCAAAACCCAGTCCGTATGGTAAGAAGCTTACAATTTAATCAGGGACACGACAGTCAAACACCTGGATACAAAACATGGAGAATTCTAATGGACCTCAGAAACCATGAGGAAACTGATATCCAGGAAGGAAGTTAAATGATTTGGCCAAGGTGACACAGGTTAAGTCGAACTCATTCATTTTATAGATGAGCAAACTGAAGCTCAAGGAGGTCAAACAATCGCTGACCTACTATGTGTCAGGTGCTAGTCCAGTCGCTGTAGATACGCATACAATCAATGAAACAATCCCTCCTCCCAAGGAGTTTGCATGCTAACTCACAGTAAGCTCTTTCCCTCTCAGATGATTCTTGCTACAGGGGATGCAAAGTAGTGGATAGAGAGTCCTGTACTGTAAACATTTATTGAGCGCCTGCTATGTTGTAGACACTGTGCCAAGTGTTGGGGATTCAAAGCAAGTTACTTTAATTCCCTCAGTCGATTTCCTCATTTGTAAAAGGGGATAAGGATAGGATAAAAGCGGTAAAATTTATGAAGATCTAAGTCTTAGCCACATTATATAAGTACATACAGAAGAAGTCAGAGATGGAGGCTGGATTTAAGTAGACCCTGATGGGGAGCTCCCTCCCCAAACTCTCTCAGCCCTTCCCTGAAACTCTCCGGGTGGGAAGAGGTACGGCTTAGTGGAGCAGCCCTGGAAAGTACTGGGTTTGAATTCCACGATCCTGGACCCAGACCCCTCCTCCCCTTCCTCCACCCCTTCCCCTAATCTCTCTGGGTCTGTTTCCTCATCAGCCTGCTGGGATCAGGGTGGTCCCCGACCGGTCTCACCTGGCCCCGGACGCCTCGAAGATTTCCGCCCACTTTTTGGGGTCGTAGAACTTAGCCTCAAACTGGGGACCGAAGTCGGCGTAGGAGAAGCCAGGTGGGTAGTTCTGGCGCATGAAGGCTTCGTAGTCTGCATCTTTTTCGCCCTGCCAGAAATACCAGAACCATTCGCCCCAGGCCGGCACCGAGTACACGCCCCAGTGCACAAACACGCCGAATTTGGCCTCGTCGAACCAGGAGGGCAGGGGCCGGGCGTCCAGGCTCTCCCAGTCCGGGGTGTAGCGCTTCGGGGTGTAGCGCGCCAAGGCCGAGGCGGCCAGCAGGAGCAGGGCCAGCTGCCCGAGCCGGACAGCTCCCATCATGGCAGAGTTCACCTTTCTACTGCTGCAGGTGAGCCCGAGGCACCTTCATATGTATGCACAGGGGAAGCTCGGCTCCTGCTCGCAGGCTCCGCCTCCTCTCCCAATGATTGGCCAAAGAGGGAAACCTGGAGGATCCGCTTTGGGCTCGGTGGACCCGGGAGGGAAGACAGGAGCAAGGCTCTGGGGATGAGGATGATACTGATAATAATTAGCATGCTTGCTAATAGTTAGGCTGCACACCTGAGTCTGAGTTCTGTATCACACTCTTACTAGCCCAGTGGCCCCTTTAGGCAAACTATGTAACCTCTCAGTCGGTTTTCTCATTTCTAAAAGAGGCTGTCTCATTTTAGATAGCTTCTATCCTGTCGGGGTTTTAGGAGCGATTGTCATCATCTTCTGTGACCCTGGGCAAATCATTTGATCTCTCTGGACCTCTGTTTTTCCCTCTTCTGTAAAAGAGGGTTAATAGGTCATTTCTCCCAAGGCGGTTGTTAGAATCACGTGATATTTGTAAATCACTTTCTGGTATTGGAGATCAGATGGAAGAGGAAGAGAGACTTCACCTATAGCTGAAGGTCTGAAAGGGCAAAAAACAGACACTGAAATGTTTTCATTCATTCGTTCATTCGTCGTACTGATTGTTGTCTCTTTTAAGCAGAAATAAGGGGATACTTTTGGGAGCAATTGAATATTTAGAACATTACTTTTCAGCCTACTATAACCTAAAGATTGCACAGCAGAAAGTTTGTATGTTAGAACAGGGTTGCAGAAAGCACCATCTACAACCGTTATTACAAGGCACTGACTATAAAAATGGGAGGAAGAGAATTTCTTCTGCTTTCATGACATTTTGACACCTGGCAGTGAAATCAAATCATGGGCTACTTCAGTATTTTATCTCAAGTGTTTCTTGAGAAAGGAGTAGCTGCTACCCATCTTCTGGCAGAGAGAAGGTGAACTCAAGTGCAGATTGTGGATTTGGACAAATAGCTGGAATCATGTAGCAACCTTTAAAAAACTGAACAATTAAAACTTTGGGTTTTTGATTGGACTTCTGAAAAACAAATCCCCCTGCATGGACATCATGTAGTCTGGGGGGAAAAAAGATGCCAAAGTTTGTTTATGGCTGGAATTTTTCAGACTACATGATGCCTGTGCAGAGGGATTTGTTTTTCAGAAATACAGTCTAATCCTAGAGGATGTCCAGGGAATCTAGAACTAGGTCTAAAAGGTAGAACTTATGCAACTCTTCAAGTTTTGCAATGTACTTTACTTATATTATCTCATTAGATCTTCACAACCACCCTGTGAGGTAGGTTTCCTTATTATATCCATTTTACAGATGAGGCACAGAGAGTTTGAGTGACTTGCTTAGATGATCCCCATAACAACCTTGGGAGGTAGGTGCTATTATTATTATTACTATTTTACAGGTGAAGAAACTGATGCAGACAGAAGTAAAGTAAGTAAGTGACTTTGCTCAAGGTTGCAAAGTAAGTGTCAGAGACTGAACTCAAACTCAGGTCTTTCTGACTTTAGACCCAATGCTCTATCCACAGCTACCTCAACTGTGAATTTGAGAGCAGTTAATATTTTTTCTCCTTTCTTTGTATCCCCAGCATTTAGGACAGAAAATATCTAGCACATAGTAGGTGTTTGATAAATGCTATTTGAAAGACTGATTGACTTCTTCCCTTCTTCTATTAGCCAGTCTCAAAATTATCCTTGCCTTATATCAGTGCTGGGCATAATAAGCTCAAACAAAGGAGATAATTGGTGCTGGCATTGCTGAAGCACAAACATTTTGGTTGACATTTTGCTTTAAGAGTTCAACAATATTGTGCTGAACTCATTGGGTACATAATATTGAGAAGGTAGACCCAAATGAGAGGCAGTTGATTGGTTCAGAGACTAGTATACTGGACTTAGGGTCAGGAAGACCTGAGTCCAAATCCTGCCACTGATATGTAAAAGCTGTGTGATCTGGGCAGATTACTTAACGTCACTCTGCCTCAGTTTCCTTATCTGTAAAATAGGGATAATAATAGGTACTTCACAGGATTGTTGGGAGAATCAAATGGGATGATATATGTGATGGATTTTGAAACCCTTAAAGCTTTATGTAAATGATAGCTATTTTTTTTGTGGTGGTCAAGAATTGGAAATTGAGGGGATGCCATCAATTGGAGAATGGCGGAACAAATTGTAGTATATGAATGTAATGGAATACTATTGTGTTATAAGAAATGATGAGCAGGCAGACTTCAGAAAAACCTGGAAAGACTTGTATGGACTGATGCTGAGTGAAGTGAGCAGAACCAGGAGAACACTGTTGTATATAGTAACAGCAACATTGTGTGAAGACCAATTTTGATAGACTTAGCTCTTCTCAGCAATACAATGATCTAAGACAATTACAAAAGACCCATGACGGAAACTGACATCCATATCCAGAGAAAGAACTATGGAGTCTGAATGCAGATTGAACCATACTATTTTCTCTTTCTTTTTTTTTCTTCTGTCTCATGGTTTTTCCCTTTTGTTCTGATTCTTTTTTCACGACATGACTAATGTGGAAATATGTTTAATGTGATTGCATATGTATAGCCTATATCAGATTGCATGCCGTCTTGGGGAGGGGAAAAATTTGGAACTCAAAATCTTATAAAAGTGAATGTTGAAAACTATAAATAAAAAAAAGAAATAGTTAAATAAATAAATGCAGCTATTAAGATATGTATGATGAGTCTTTTTCTTTTGTTATACAAGTTGATTTTATTAAAATGATTAAATGTTATAAAGATGAATATGTTCTTTTTAGCATATTTGTATATATTCATAGAATTTACATATATATTCTTAGACACACACACATACACATTACTGGCATGTTCTGGTAAGTGTTTAACAATTGGCTTATCAGAAAAAAATGTGGACAGAACACACTTTTAAGTTTGATTGGCATTATTATTATTTCCTCTATCACTTTCTTAAGTCTAGACAGTTAAAACAATAAAATCAAGTCCTGATTTGAAGCATCTGCTGATTTCTGAGGTTTAAATGCTTGATATGAAAATTTAACAATTTGTTCTCACTAGGCAGTCTGAGCAGGCTCCAGCACACCCCTGTTAAACAAACACACACACACACACACACACACACACACACACACACACACACACA